AAAAGACTTATAAATGGTTGGATATTTTTGTATTTTTGTTATTGTAGTGCATCGTGTAAACTTCCTTATAATTTTATAATACAATTGTTCATGTTGTAACCCAATTATTTATTTTGAAGAATATAATGCATCATAGATTTGGTGGAACGAAATTAGTTTGGTTAAAAAATATAAAAATAGCTACCTAAATATAGTCTGTGTAATGTTGGGAAAATATGAAAAATTAGGTACCAAAAAAATTACAGGGAATCCGCTGAAAAATAGTCAATTTTTTCCTAAAAATTACAAACATTTTACATCGGACAATTAAGGCAACTGATGTAAAACACATCTTTTACATCAGACCAATATGGCCACCTATGTAAAATCATATCTTTTATATCAGACCTAACTTATAATCGATGTAAAATATTGCGTATATTTTATTAAAAAAAGTTGTATCTTTTTCACATCAGACCTAACTTATAATCGATACTACATATTCAGTTATTTCTGACAGACAGAATCCCCCTCAAGAAAAAGAATCAAAATCATAGGCCCTCTCACCCGTTTGCCACTTTGTTTTCAACTGTTCCCACCTCCTGGGCGAGATAAGCTACCTTCTTAGGTAAGAGGGGGGGGGGGGGGGGGGGGGGGGGGGTAGACTGTTAAGTGTATCCCCTCATGACCACTTTCAAACGTCATAGCAAGCCCGAAGCTAATATTCTGGCAAAAGCAATAAATAATGTTCAGCTCATTATTTAGAGCCAACCCGTTATAAGATAGGAAAAATAGAGAAATGAAGCAGGCCACGGGAAAAGAAATTTGCCCCAAAAAGAAACCTATTTTTGCTTCTTCTTCCTTAGTCAGATTTATTCTAGTTCTAGAAGTCTGACTAAAAAAAACAACGGAACAACTCAGAAGGAATATTATAAAAAAAGTAACAAATAAAACGATATAAGAGTTCTCCGCGATTTGTTTTAATAATAGAGTTTCAGATATGCCGGGAACCGTTTCTGGGGGGGCCTAGTTACCGGGATACAGTCCCTTCACAAAAATTTTATTCCAGGAAGCCCGGAATTCAACTGGCATCCCTGAAGCGGAATGGTACGCGAATACTGCTTTTAAGATAAAAATATTACCAAGAGCCAGACTTACAGATAAAAAGGATATGAAAGATAAAAACAACAATTATCTGAAAAAATGGTCCATATATTAAATAATATATGCATTATTTTGGTGGTCATTACTTTTTGTTTTCTTTGTCTTTGGCTGACTCCTCTTCCTGTTCTATTGATCAAAAGAAAAGTTCTAGTTCATACGAACGTCTGTTACGTGCGTACCTAGGACTGGGCCGGATTCGAACCAACCAAGAAAAGGAAAGTGCCATTCTTATAAGCCAAAGAAAGACAGTCCAATCATCTATGTCGAAGGGGCAGGTACGGAGTCACTCGAGCGAAGCAACAACTTATATCATATAAGAGATTCTCCATCTAGACGGGGCTAGATAGCACTAATAACTTCATTCGTACTATCTTGGCAAAGAGTGAAGGTTTAATATTTGTTCTAGAAAGTCTTCATTCCCGTGTCAAAGCCAAATTGTTGAGACCAAGCAAGGAGGCACTACTGTAGAGCTCTTTGGGCCTGCCGCTTTCTCAATCGAAAATGGAAACTGTCAAGATTAGCCTACTGAACGATTCTTTCTATCATTATATATGTAATTTCAGGATTTATTTTCGTTGATCGGATCGCCACACCCGACTTTCCTTACTGACCGCCAACCCAATCTCGATGTTTGAAAGATGTTCTGTTCACATACTCGTTTTCACACATAGGAACAGATAGGCAGGAAAAACTACCCTTTATAGAAAGAAGGAGCCTTATTATTTATATACATGAGAAACTAGTCCAAGAACCTCCTCAGCTTCACTCAGAACGACTAACTAGGTCGATGCCTACTCCTCCTTCCTCTTAATCTAATCGACTCATCCTTCCGTTCATTCTTATTCTTACTTACCATACACATTTTTCAATTAAAGATGCCAAGGTAGGTATTTAGGAGGTTTTTGTGGATTAAAAGACTAGCGATAAACCCCCAACTATATATTCCATTATATATATACGATTAAATAAGAGGCGACCTGCCCCAGAAGCTTGCAGAATACTTTATATGGACAATCAATAGACTGGCTGGCGAGGCCAGGTAGATCTCTATGGGGTCCCCTTCTCCGCTTCAAATGGGAAGGCCAACATCCTTTTGTCGCCCGTTAGCAAGACCGAAACTAGATGCGTCGAGCTGCCTAAGGTCTTGACCACCTCCTCTTATTTAAAGGATAAAAAGTTTTACCATAAAGTGCAAACTAGACTCCGCATCTAGATCAAGTTACCTTTCAAACAGCGTATTCTCGGCATCAATGCACCAACCCCTGGCAAGACCCGATCGGAAATAACCCAAGAGGAATTAGAAGAGTGGCTTAAAAGCTCCTTTAAGCCATCAAATTTCCCTTCATTTACACGAGATTAAGATTTATTTTAGGGGATTCCACCAATAGACAGATTGGATAAGAATCTTACTCCCGCACCGGAACTCTTGCTTCTTGGCCAAGAGAGGCTTCTCGCTGCAATCAATTCCTAACATCTGATCAGCGATTGTGAAAAAAGAATAGGAGTCCTTTAGCCTTCGGTAAATAGGAGTAATTATTCCCTCTAGTAGGTCAGTCAATCTTTAAATGTGTTCCATAGAATAGAAGAGAAAGAGTCAGTCTTTACTCCTTAGTCTGCCGCTATCTTTCATCCCTTAATTGCCTTATCTTTTCTTTTTCTGTTGTAAATGTAAACCGGCCGGCCGTTTGTTAGGATCTTATCGCCGTAACCAGTAATAGGCTTATCTTCCGTTTCATTCGCATTATCGTGAGCGGGTCTGGTGAACTACCCTTTCACTGGTTCTAGCTACTATTGGATTTGAACCAAGAAAGTCTTCCAACTCTGCCTTTTAGGGTAAGATACACTGGCTTTCAGTTGCAGTACTGGTCATTGGCGACCTTGGGACGCATCTCAAGTGTACTGGGCCCCCCCTCTTTGCTTATAGACTCAGCACAGAAAAGCAAGGCTCTCCATGCAAGGTTGGATAAGCAGGAGGACCCGAACAAAGAGATTAAAAGTATTATGGGTAAACATGAAGACACTACAACGGAAATCAAAGGCATTTTGGGCAAGCAAGAAGAGTCTAATACTCAGATCAAGAGCTTGCTGGAAGCGTTGTTCACACGTCTTCCCCCTCATTCTTAGATTTATTTTTTAAATTGTTTTCTGTAACCTTTAATTTTTACCTCTTTTGTTCTGGAACTTGTCATTGCATCATGTTTTTTAATATAATTCAACTATTTTAGTTCTGATTATATTGCATCATGTCATTGTCATCCGCATATCAAATAATGAACCTGCATAAGACTCAACTCAACAAGAAAAGGTGAATCACAAGTTTCAAGTAATCAAAAATTAGGAATTAATTTCCTAAAAAAAATCAAATGAAAAGCCTAAAAAAACTTTATTAATTTTTGTAGTTCATTATAAATTTTTTTTTTAAAAGAAATTCCTAAATTCTATATATTTTTTATTGTTTTATTATATGTATTTATTTTTACTATATGTATATATATTTTTATCAGCAAAATTGGAAGGAAATTAAACAAAAAGTAAACTAAAGCAAAATAAGACATTAGAAGAATAAAGGGGGTGTGGAGAAAAAACACGGGGGTGCTAACGAAGCAGGGCGCTAGGCCCACTCATGAAGCCCAACAAGTAGCTTTTTTGTTGAAGCTTCAGGTTCAGGTTGTACAAACAAGATGATGTGGGCTCAGGGAGAGTGTGATACGGCCCAATAACAACACCAAACACGCGTTTTGTTGGCTAGGGTTCAGACATTGTAAGTCTTCAGCTTCCTTGTGGATATGAAGCCTCTTCACTCCTTTCGTGCTTCAATCTTTATATTAAGCTAACGGCGACTTCGTCATCCTCTCTCGCCTTGAATTCAGAACACCGTCGGCTGCACCATGGAGATTGTCGCAACATCTCTTTTTCTTTGACTTATCTTCACAATTTCTCCATTTGTACCGCATCGCAGATTCGTCTTCGATGCCGAGCTTTAATCCTTCTATCACAACTCTGCCTTATCTTCTTCTTCATCGACTAAACCATTTATTCCAACAAAACACCTCTGTTTCATTCCGTCTTTAACTTACTCGTTCAACGGAGACATCGTGGATGCTCACACAAAAATCGATTCAAGTATGTGTTCTCTATTTCTTCGCTTCTACCTTCTTTATCTACATCTCTTCTTCATCTCTGTTTCCAATTTATGTGTGCTTTCCATTGTTCGCATTGGCAATGATGTGAATGCTGAAACATTTTGTTACGCGTTGTTGTTGCAGGAGCGCTATTATGATTGAAGATAATAATTCTAATCAAAGCAAAATAAGCCGTCATTAGAAGAACATCCCAAGCCGACTCAAAGAATTAATAATCTCCAAAAGCAACTGTTTTTCCTATATTTATTTCGAGAACCTTAAGCGAAAACAAAAGACAGATCCTGCTAGAAAACAAAAACCCTTATTGTGAGTCCACAGTACGAGTTGAGCAGGGGCGACGACGCGGTGGTCCGAGGGGCAGTTTGAAAATCCGGTAACATCTTTCTCATCTTCATGTTTATTATGTGCACTCTTATCTTATTCATAACAACTCTATTATGCTCACTATTTTTATTCAAAACCTAATCCAAATCTAATCAGAAATTTGAGTATATGTTCGTTGAGAAATCATAAAATCTTCAACTCCAAGAGTTAATTCATAATAACTATCACAAAATTTGATTGTTCCCGTAATTATATACATGAGAGAAAATAATAATGATAGCATATTTAGTGAGCCACAAAATTTGATTGTTCCAGTAATTTTGTTGTGTTGTTTTTGTTAAAAGTTGAAATTCATTTACCGTTGCAGAAAGAAAGATTTAGAGAAAGTTTATGGCAAAGAATTCAAAGTTCAAAGATACTGTCGATGTCGATAGGATTAGTGAATTACCAGATGAGTTGCTGAGTCGCATACTTTCCTTTCTTCCTCCTAATTTTTCTTACACCACCCGTCTTCTTTCCAAGAGGTGGAAACCACTATGCAAATACATGGTAGATCTCCATTTTAATGATAAATTCGTGAAAGGCGAAGAGGAATTGCAATGCTTCCGTCACTGGGTTGACAAAATCATGCTATCCCCAGACATGAATAACCTACCTATTACAGCCTTTCATCTTAATTGTGGTCATTCTGAATTTTCACTATTCAACTATGATGAATGGATTAAAGCTGCAAAACTGCGTGGCGTCGAGAATCTCCAACTCTCCATGTTTCATTTCTATACTGCTTTCGAAATGTACACGTCATGCTCCAATTCCTTGGTGGATAAGTTCATCTCCGTGGCACCCTACAACATATTTAGCTGCCGAACCCTTGTGATTCTCAAACTCGAGAGGTTATGTGTGGCGGGCAATATTTTGTCCGTTGATCTTCCTTTGCTTAAAACCCTTCATTTAAAAGGTGTTTATTTACAAAATTCTGAAGATCTCAAGAAGTTGATATGTAAATCATTGATTCTTGAAGATTTGTATATTATGGTTGCCTACAAAGAAAGTGCAAGTATTCCACTTCAACGAGTAGATAAGGGTCCATATCATGTTTTATTTAAAGCAGAATATTATAACGTTCAGTTTCTACGGGTACAAATACAATATCACTTCTTTAATCCTTACCGCTTATCTCATTTCATTTATTTTCATATCTTGTTTTTTGTCATGGAAAATTTGCAGTTAGAGGCCAAGCTTCCCAATGAAAAGATCATTTCATATTTCAAAGACTCTTCAGTTTTTCGAAACTTGATCCAGCTTGAATTAATATTTACTTACTTTTATGGCTGGGATGACGTAATGGACGTGCTTCAGAATTGTCCCAACCTTGAAACTCTTTTAATGGATGAGGTTTGTCCCATTTATTCTATATTTTGTGTGTTTTTTTTTTAGTGTATTCTATAAATCTCGATATTTACATATATTTTTAGCAGGGACACTTGTGGTATGCAAATGTACACCCACCCTTTAATATAATTAGAATAATAAAACTTGAATGTTTGTATCATATTTCCTAGTTTTCTATATATTTGAACCGACTCACCTCAATTTTTATATATGGTTGTCTTTTGTCATTATTTTTCTTGAAACAGATTCTCCCCAAGTACACTGGAAACTTAGTTCCCGAATGGACATTGAAAGTCGGCAGCAGATCATTCACAATCTGGGAAAGTCCAAATTCTGTTCCTAAATGCATTTCATCTCACCTAAGATCTTGCACCTTAACCTATGAAGGCATGGATGATTCGCTTCGATTTGCAGAATATGTTTTACAGAATGCTCAACTTTTACAAGTTATGACAGTAAAAAATACAAAGTTTGCTGAATCGGTTTACCACTTGGAATGGTTAGATGAACTAAATTCATGTCCAAAGATTTCACCCTTTTGTAAACTTTCAATAGGATCGTTCTAGTTTTCGAGATATGTGTGGTTTCGGCAATGCCTAGTAATAGTGTTGATATTTAAGTTGCTTGGTCCTGAATTATCTGGAAGTACTCATTTAGTTTATTTTTAGGTGGTTCTTTTCTCTTTGCACGTGTGATCAACTATTAGCTGTTGAATTATGTAAAAGCTTCCGTTTCTTCATGTTCCTATTAGTGACTAGCTAGATGATATCCTCAATTAACTTACATTTGGTTTGGATTGTTCAATTTTGTTTTCAATATATAATACGTATGCATATCACAGGCTCCAAAGAAATGCTTGAATTTTCTTAGTCATGTCATGACTCATGATGCAATTCACCTTTATAGAGTAATCTATATAATTTGATTTAGCAAAATAACTTTGAGTTATTGCAATGTCTGAACGTTTCTTAAATGACATTTATTAACCAAGTGGCAATAATTGTGTGACAATAAGTGTATCCTTATATCTTCCAAGTCTGAAATGTGTCCATGTCCGATTTCCATTAGACGCCTTTAGAGATTCAAACTAACCTACTTATCAAAACAATAACCATCAATAAAGTTTCTTAGGCCCTTAAATATCCCAGAATTTGTGATGCGGGTTTTTTGCATAGTTAGGAAGAATCTACTTAGCACCCTATAAATTGATCCTGACACCTTTACATACTCAATATTTTTATCATAATACTCTTCAATCATTAAAAGTAATATATTTTATATTTTAAAAAACAAACGTGTTTGCTTAGAGATTTGATGGAAAATACTAACATTTTTGTTCAATTTATGAGTTTTTACCATATATTTTTTTTAAGGCAAAATATTAAGTAGAGAAAATATCACGGTGTGAAGGTGAGTACATTAAGAAGAGAAGACAAAGAAAATTCATAGGTTTCACATATTTGTTATTTTCATTAAAAAAAAAGTTATTTATATGAAGAGAGATGATATGCTAACACCAAAATCACTGTATTTTTATAGAAAAATGCTATTCATGCACCATTTCCTACACCTACACCGTATTTCACTGTTCATCTATACGATAAAATATTATAAAATAATATTATTTTTAATATATATATATATATATATATATATATATATATATATATATATATATATATATATATATATATATATATATATATATATATTTAAATATATATTTTTTATTTTTTATTTTAGATCGATGGAGTACAAAAATAAAAGTACCTCATTAACCAACTTTATAACTTTATTAGCCAAATTTTACATTTTATTAACCAACTTCATAATTATTTAAAATTTGGGCAGTCTATTAACCAACTTTGTAACTTCATTAACCAATTTTTTATATTTCATTAACCAACTTTTTACATTTCATTAACCAACTTTGTTTTACTATTAAAAATTATTTTTAATATTTGAATGTTTATTAACCAACTTCATCACTATATTAACCAATATTTTGCATTTGATTAACCAACTTCATTTTATCAATAAAAGTCATTGTTCGTATACTGTTCACGAACACTATTCACTGACATTGTTCAAACACTGTTCACACACTGTTCATTTTTTTATTTTTAAAATATATATTTTTTAAAATAAAAAAACACTGTTCACCGTATAAATACGGTGAACAGTGTTTGGTGTAAGTATTTGGTGTATAAATAACAAAACTGATTTTTATACGGTGTCAACTACTTTTTCTCTTTAATTATTATTTTATTCTAATTGAAATTTGTGCCACACTTAAAAATAAGCTTGTAATCTACTCTATAAGCATATGGTGTTATGATTTTGATGTCAATATATCATAACTCTTATATG